CTCTACAAATGTTGGGCCCCACTATCTGAATGGTTAGCATCGTTTGAACGCGCAATGTTGGTTACTTCCTCCTTTTTACACTTTTAGCCCCTCAGCTTTTCATTTTTTCTTATTTAGCCCCTGTATTTTTAAAACAACATAATTTCACTCGTAAGTAATAATATCCTTTAATTCTAACCGTCTAATTATTAAATTTATGTAATTAACCCTCTAATCAAATACAATAACAATCATTTTTTAGGGTTAATCAAATATCGCTCTAGTAAAGGCTAACGAGCATAGATCGGTCCCTATAAGTTTTTAAATTTAAAACCATGCAAAAACTTGTCATATTGAGCACCAAAGGGTATTGCTCAAAGAGAGGTCCAATTGTGACTCAAACTATATTTTCAAAACTCATAAATAGTTCAAAAAAACTTTTATTTAAAATCACCTAGGAGTTATAATCCGATCACTTTCAATTCCATTTTCATCCTAACCATCTTAAGTTAAAATAAACAAGGGTTCATCTTAAATGTCTAGGTCATTACTTTTATCTTAAGCATGAAGGTGCATAAAGAGGTTGAATAATGTAGCTTTGATGCTTGATCTTCTCCCTTTAATAACGGTTTCAGATCTTGAATTTAATTGCATCATGACCATGGAAATGGTTGAGATTTTACAATGGACTGCATGAAATTAATGAATTACAAATACATGATATAACTAACTTCTTAAAAAATTCTTTTTTGTAATCCTTGTCAGTTGGCTATGGACCGTGGTTTCAAAGAATCTAACCACATATTGGCTTTATTCTTCAGTGAGAAGGAAAAAAGTTTTAGATGAGCTATTTTAGAGTTATCCTGGAATGTACCAAGGAGGTGTGCAAATAAGGATTCTCACACTCCAGACCATGAAACTGGGAAAAAAATGGTAGAGACCCTCGTTTGACATCAAAATTTTGGGCATTCTTAGGTAGCATGAAGGTACACTGTTGCGAACAAGACGTAAATAATCCCTCAAGATTTTACCTTGTTTATTGGCCTCTACTTTTCGGCCACCCATTACTCTACAAGTTTTGCTATGATCAAATGTGGGGAAGGTAACTGACTGGTTACGTGAAGGACTCAAAGGACCTGATGAACCTACAAAATCTACTGTTAAATAGAGAGTAGGTTGGGTCTGAATTAGAGGAATGTCCACCAGACATGCAATTCTAAAAATAAAATTAAAAGAATGAATAGTGAAAATCTAACCTGAAAAAATAAGATGGCATGCAAAGAATCTAAAAATAATTACAAGATGGAATGTAGTTACCTGGAAAAATTTGTCTCCAAGTAGCATGTTGATGAAGGTGGATTCTCCCTTCTTCTTGTTCTTCTCAAATTCCTCCTTCTCGATCCCTAGCAATGGCTCTAAAACTTACTTGATGTCCAAAGGATGCACCCAAGTACAAGTGGTCAAGAAGTAGTAAATACACGATGAAATTTACTAATAACGTAAATGAAAATTAGGTTTGGATTTGGTAAAAAGTTGAATTGCTTGGAAAATAAATGTAAATAAACTTAAAGAGAATAACTATTGGAAGAATGATCCTTTAGCTTTGGGATTTAGATATGTTCATGTTCATCTAATAATTATATTTATGCAATTTATATATAAATTTAGTTGATTTTTTAATCAATGTAGTCACTGGAAAATATAGTTTTGAATACACAATTAATTCGATTGATGTGATAATAAGATTTGAAAAACTACTTTTATAAAACTCGTAAGAAATTATAAATATTGAATATACCAATAACTCAATCTTGTTAATAAACAATCAAATAATTACATAGAGTTTAAACTTTGCTAAAACATACAATCAATCTAAAAGAAATAAAGATTTAGCATTAATAACAATGATATAATTGCATGAACATAATATCTAAATGAACAATCAAAAATCTATACCCTAGGCAAAATATACAAGAGAACTACTCACATGGCATGGGTGGATCTCAAAAAAATAAAGAAAAGATGTAAAAGATGGGGATCTAGGATGAATCTCTCCCAAAAAAAAAGAACATGTACTTATACTAGGGAGGCTACAGTTGGCATTGGAACAAGTCCTTAATCAAAAAGGAGTACATTTAGGTCAAAACCCGTGCATCAGAGTCAAACGGCATGTCCCAACGATGCAAAACGCATCCCGCCGGTTTAAATGTATGGGAACCAAACTTCGTAGGTGCATCTGGACAATGTAAATGTGTTTGGACAATCAAAACTTACTGGACAAACCTTCATAGGTGCATCTGAACGGTGCTTGGTGTGTCCAAATGCACTTACATATTGTCAGAGTGCGTTCTGACAGTATTGGTGCTACCAGATGCGGGTAATGTATCTCCCAAACTTCAAGCTCAATTTTCACATAGTTATAGGCCAATTACACTTTTATAGCTCTTGAAGGCTTCTTTCCAATGACGCAAGAATCAAGTCAATCGAACATCAAGATAAAAAGTTATGACTACAACACTTAAGTAATGTTAAAATCTTTTTTTCCCAAATTGTCTCCAACATATATTTATGCTTCGGAATGCCTCCCAACTTCTTTTCTTCATCAAATGATCCCCTATTCCAACCAAATCCTTCCTCCATTGTTTGCTCCTCTTGGATCACTCTATTGTCATTACTAATCATCTGATTACCTACAAAATGAGATAAACAACTAGAACAAGTATCAAGCTAGCAAATCCATGAATCTAACACATATAATCGTAAAGAAAATGTAATTAAATCATCCTTAAATATAATAAAATATCACTTCTGATGTCTATTCACACCCCAACTCAAATTTTACTAGTCCCTAATAATACATGGATCCCAAAATCTGAAAATAAAGCAAACATAAAGATACAAAACCACTTTCATAATATTCATGATTACATTTAGTACATATAATAAGCGTTAAAACCCCTAGGTTATCTCTAGTGGACGAGTTATAGTCTCGTGAAGGTTTTTAGTGCATATACCCACAAACTTCATTCAATCTATTAATAATCTAAATCATTCTCATAACTTAAATCAATCATCAATCCAGGAAAAATATCAAATTTTAACCCAAATAAGTCAATGCAAAGCCACATCATAGAACTAAATGGTATATAAAAGTTTTCACATATTGGATTCCCATTCAAAACTCGTGTGTGATGTTAAATAATTATGCAAGCTCAAAAATTCAGTCAACAATACCTCACCTTTACAACTATCAATGGCTAGTTTTGATACAAACTTTACCAAGAATTTACTCCGATTATAATGACTATTCACATTTTACAATACCATATGTGAGCGGAGTTAATGAAAATGAAAGCAACATATAACTCGCATACATTCATATCAACTATCCGCTATTCCAATAAAAGGACTTAGCACAATCTCATGAAAGGAAATCAATAACATAGATTTTAAAATAATCGTCAATCTTCTCCTTATTCACATAATCCATGAATCAACCATCATACTCTTGACATCAAATAGGTCTTTTTTTTTTTTTAATGGGGCTTTGGGATAAGGTTTGTGAAGCGAATAATATTTAAGAATTCAAAAAGTTATCCCGCAAGATCATTACTTTTTCTCAACCATATGCTTCAATTGCTTTTCTTTTCCCATCATCCAGAAGCAAACCTAAATAGCACTATCCCATACTTTTCTTCTTCTTTTTTTCATAAATGCATTTTTTTCCCTTCTTCTTTTTTCCCAATAATAGCTATTTTTTTTCTTTCTTTTTATGCAAGCTCAACAAGAGAATACCTAAATATTTTCTTTTTATGGAATAACCAAGGGAGATTCATCTCCTTTTTTCTTTTTCTTTTTCCAAAAGTTAATATCAAACCCTTATGATATGTTGTTAAATCAATTCGGGACAATCAAGGTAAGATAAAATGCTTTATAATTTTTCATGGTTGTTATATTGGGCTTAAGGATTAAAAATATTGAAAAGAGGCTCAATCATGATTTCTATGGATGAATATTGATCAGGCACAAATTGGTTTTATGCACCACCTCTCAAGTAATTAATGATTAATGCAGTAATTAAGTAAAAAAAGAGTAACACAAGCAAGGCAAAGATGTAAAGTGGTTTATTCAACGTAACCTACTCCACTATGAAAGGCTATGATGGCTTGGTGTTTTATTACTTCGAGAGTATAAGGAGATCAGGGGAGAGCAACAAAGGTACAAGCTATGAGAAAGGTGAGAGTGATAACAGATATATTCGATGCCCCCCAAATATTGGCGGGGCTTACAATTTATAGTGTCTTTTAACAGACAAATGCGCCTTTTCAGTAACTAAGTAGCTAATCTGGTGGAGCTGACACTATCCTCTTAACGGCTGAGGCGGTTATGGAGCTCCCCTTAAGATCAGGTCAAAGGATGACATTGTTAAATTTTTCCAAGCGATGTGGATGAGGCTCTTGGGATGGCGTTGCCTACTCCTTGGTGATGTAGCTCTTGGAACCTTGATGAGCCTGACTAGGTGTGGGCCTCCTTTGGGTCTGATCCATTGGGTTTCGTTTAGTTGGGATTTTTATTCAAGCTAGGCTCACAACCTAAGTTGGGCCCTTGGGTCTGGCCCATCATTTGCCCTCCAATACCCCAACTCCAATAAAATTTAGAGAAGAGGGCATTTAGTTAAATCCGGATTCTGGCTGACTGAGACTCTTTTTGACTGAAGACCTCTTTTCCTCCCTGACATCTCTATAGTAAATCGCCAGTTATATAAACTCCCCCACTTTATTTCCTATTTGGATTCTAGAAGAACCCTAGGTCATAAATAGGAACTTTTTCCTTCATTTGCATTTCATACAATCTTGAGAGAAAATATCTTTGTAAGATTCTCCAGAATATAGGCAAGATGTGAGGTTCTTGAGTGTTCAGAGGACAGATCGAGTGAAGGAGAAGAGGTACAAGGAACCATTGTCATCGAAGAGGGCGTTGATGGTGTCAAAATAGTAGGCACTAGGGCTCGTACTTAGAAGGACGTCAGCAAGGCAATGGCGCTGGCAGACGAGGCTTGGTACCATGGTGGTGAAGGAGACCCTGAGTGCTCCCTAGGCATTGAAGGTTCTATGGGCCTTGGAGGCAAGGCGCCAAGGGTGCGCCTAGGTTACAAGGATAGGCAAAGGCGCCATGGGCAAGACCCCATGGTCGCCGCTGATCGTGAGGCACCATAAGCATTGCTGGAAGGGCACGTTGATTGTGGAGAAAGCGCCGAAGTCGAGATGACACCGGGCAAGGGCACGGGAGGGGAGCACGTCATGACAGGCACAGGCGACGCGCCAGGGATAGCATCACTGGGCACTGATCTTGAACAGTCAAGCGCGCCAGGGGCTAGGAGCGGTCAAGCGGTGCCAAGCTCAGGGTCGTGGTTGTTGGGCGAGCCTGATGTGGTGGCTGTGGACGCCAGGCATGGATTTTCGCGAGTGCTAGAGGAGGATTCGTCGAGTATTTTTGGTGACGATGATTCCAATCAAGCTATGGCTGATGTGGTTCTTTTAGGTATAATTCCACGGAGTCAAATCTCTCAAGGCTCTCTAATAGTGGCCCTAAGAATGTTTCTCACCCTCGCAACAGCAAGCATCGAGGAAAGGCAACTCTTGATGATGACGGATCCAAAGTAAATACCATTTCTATTACCCTTAACACTGATGCTAATATTTTGAGGGTTATTTCCACTTATAACATCCTTCTAATGGTATTGTGTTGCCGAGCTGAAATGGGTGAGCCTGCTTGTGATGACTCATTTAGAGACATTTCTATCTATGAGGAGGTGCTTGAGGCTGGGCTGAGGTTCTCAATGCCTTCTTCTGTTTTTCGTATTCTCTATTGTTTTTTGCTGACTTGATAGAAGTAAATAATATCTGTGAAAAATGTACAAATATTGGGTACCTCTAAAGCTTAATGATTTCTGGCTAGTCAAGTTTGTCACCACTCTACATGGGTTTTGAAGGTTCCTCGGATTCTTTAGACTTAGTGCAAATTTTTTTATCAATTATCTTCCCACTACAAAGTATGGTGACAGACTTTACTTGCTCATATATAATGTCATCGGTACAAGATTCACTCACATTAAACTGACCCTGTGGTTGAGCCGAAAACTTACCTTTCTCCTGATGACATGGAGTAGCGGTCAATCTAGTGAGAGTGCTTCAAATATCATTAACAGCCTGAGTGGTTTGATTATTAAAATTTGTCTTATTTGCATGAATTGAAAAAATACCTCTTCAAAGTTCCTATTTGGAAATGGGGTTTAAGGAGTAAAATTAGAGGAACTCTATTGAGGTGTTTGTGATGCATGATTCTCACCCTTCCAACTGAAGTTACGATGGTTTTTCCACCAAATGTTATAATTATTTGAATACAGGTTGTTATAAGTTTTGTGAAGTTGTTTGCAACATTTGCTTGATCATATAAAACTTCCTTTAAAACAAGAATTGTCAAACACTCATTTATAGAATGTCTAGGGATCTCACAAATATTATAAATTTCTTCTATAGGGACAGTTTCTATCTTAGTAACCTTCTTGTATTTCATGGCTTCAACCCTTCTAGACAATGTGGCAATCCTTGCCTCTAGGTCATCATCATCCCTCAACTGATATTTTCCCCTAGTCAATGCAGTACTTGAATTTTTATTTTTAGAAGGCTCATGGGATATGGTATCCCAAGACTGTGCATTCTTGGCCAAACGATCCAAAAAATCAAAAGCCTTATCAGGTTTCTTATTCATAAAGTCATCATTACACATCATCTCTACAAATTAGCGCATTTGGGGGGATAAACCTGCATAAAAAAAAAACTCAAAACACGCCAACCCTCACAGCCACGGTGTGGGCAAGATGCAAAAAAATCTTTAAACCTATCCCATCTCTGATAAAAACTTTCAAACTCTTTTTATGAAAAATTCATGATTTGTCGTTTAAAAGAATTTGTACGATGTATGAGAAAAAAATTTAGAAATTCTTTTTGCATCTCTTGTCAAGTGCCTATGAATCCAAGTCTAAGAAAGTGCAGTCAAGTCTTAGCCTTTTCCTTCAATTAAAAAGAAAAAAAATGTAACCTGACTATAATCACTGTCATAGTCTGATTATGGAAAGTAGCACATACCTCCTTAAAATCTCGAATATGCAAATAAGGATTTTTAGAGTCCATGCCATGAAATTTTGGAAGTAATGCAGTCATGTCAAGTTTGAAAATAAAATTTGTTGCCTACGATGAAAAAATGATGCATGAAGATGCAGTATGACATGCAGGTTACAAATATTCATGCAAAGTTCGACCCTAATTAATGTGCATATTATCGACATCATTCTCGTCATGATTATCTATTTTATCATCAGGATCCTCTTGTTCAGAAAAATTATTTCTCATATTGTTAGGAGGATTTACGGCCATCGTGTGAAGTGTGTGTGATGAGTCAAATAGATTTCCAAACAGTGTCTAAATTTTCTCTAATCAATCGTCCACTTGAGCCACGATGCCAAGAGCTCATAAAATAATTAAAAGCAAAAGTAAAGACAAAAAACAAAAAATAATTGACAAAAAGTAATGAATTTTAGCAAAAATAAAAACGGAACGAAGTTACCAGATTTATAAAGAATCATAAACGACAAAAACTCCTACAGATATTAGTGGCTCCTTATCTTCAACAGTTCCCCGGCAACCACACCAAAAACTTGTTACAACTTCAATAATGTAAACCTAAGCGTAGATTGTGCAAAGTAATATATTCTCGAGAATTAGAGGTCGAACCCTCAGGGAATTGTGAAAACAAAAGAATCACAAAAAAAATCCAATAAAAGAAAATTGTTTAAAAATTCTCTTGAAAGGAAATTCCACTTGTCTAAACTAAAATGAACTGAAACAATAATTATAATACTAAAGTATCGGGATAACCCTTTCAAATCCATACGACAACTATTAAAAATCCAGTTTTCAAACTCAACTGAAAATCAACTTAGAAGTGACTCAAATCGGAATAGCTAGCAATAAGGATACGAAAATACCAATATTTATAACCAAAATTCCATCCGAATAAGCTTAGGAATTCATCTGCAGATCACAAATATTCACTGTGCCCAAAGTCTACAACGAATCAAACTTTCTAACAAATTAACTCCAGACTTGTCCACATAATCCTCTGATTATATTATCTTATGAAAATCATGTTAATTAACTTAAGCATGAAATAACTAGTTATTTAACTCACCAAAAATTCAAGTAATTTGATATACATGATACAACGGATCAAGAACTTTTACAGAGCAAAAATTTTATTAAAAAAAAAATTGAATTAACATAATAATACAATCAATTAAACCCTTGAATCAATAATAGTAACATATTTCATTGAAAGCTTCTCTCCTAGCTTTAGCCAGATTATTTAGCCAGACATAATTGCAAATACCAAAGAATAAAAATAACCAACAACCCTAAACCTAGTAACTATTTTCTATTTATATCCAGGGAAAACAACCCCAGCTTAAAACACCAATTTTAGAATTCTGGGCATGAAATAACACGCGTTTAGATGCAAGACACGGAAGCCATCAATTTTAGAATTCTAGACATGAAATAACACGCGTTCAGACGCAAAACACGGAAGCCATAAACGGTACGCTTCCCAATTCTCAAAATCTCCACATGCTTATTCTGGACATTCTGTCTGAACTTACATGCAGCCTCCTCCTCTCCTTACTTCTAACTCTTGCCCTTTTAATTCATACTCCTTTAATTCATCTTATTTACCTACAAAATAAAAACAAACATGCCATAAGTAGAATCAAACCTAAACCTAGGTAAATTGATACATTTAACACTCTACCCAATGTAATTAATCCCTAACAACCCCCACACTAATACATTATCAAACACTAATGATCTATCTTTTGGTGGAACAATTGCTTACCCAGTTTGGAGTTATTATTTTTCCAGAAGTCAGATTTATTCTTTGTTGTAAGAGATTATAAGGACCCCATAATGGGTTATTGTCTGTCTTTGGTGGAACAATTGCTTACCTAGTTTGAAGTTATATTTTTTTTCGGAAGTCGAAGATTTAATTTGCAAAATTAAGTTTACGTAATTTGGAGTTATTGTTTTTTCAGAAGTCAAAGATTTGATCCTTTGTTGTAAGAGATTATAAGGACCCCATAGTGGGTTATTGTCTGTCTTTGGTGGAACAATTGCTTACCTAGTTTGAATTTATTTTTTTTCCCATATGTCGAAGATTTAATTTGCAAAACAAAAATTATAGCATGGTAGGTGCATATGTTTATGCATTATTTTTCACTTCTTAGGGTCTTTTATTCCTATGCTTATGGTTGTAACGTCAAGTAAAGATAGCTATGAATTTCGCCATCACTTTATTAATTTTAAGTTATTGCAGATTGATGTTTAGGTGAAAAAAAGGCGTACAAGAACAATGTCTTGGTTTGGAGGCTGATCCGTATGGATGAGCTTTTTAAGATGTAAAATTAAAATAGCAATGAAGACAAATCACAAACTTTCAATTTAGAAAAAATGCCCAAATGCTTTAACTTCAAACTATACAAAACACCTAAAAATGTAAAACACTCGTCCAAAAAGATAAAATCAAAAGATGAATTTGTTAAATAACTTCAAACTATACAAAACACCTAATAACTTTCATATATATCACAAGATTGGATGACATATGAAATTATCAGGCAATAACAAAATTCAAGTAAATATTACATACCAAATGTCTTTGGTCTAATGGTATTCCTTACCTTGTAAAGCTTTTGTCTTCTTAAGATCAAGGGATCAAGTTCCCTCCCCCTGCCAAAAAAAAAAAAAAGAGCAAATAGTACATGAATTTTTATCAAGAAAACTCCCAACGAATAAATGAAAAGAATTATGAAAGATTGTCTCGTGTAAATATTAATCTAGAGCATTGGAAACTAACTTACATAATGTGTGAGTTCTTCACATAATCCAAATGACATATCTTATGCATTCTTGCATACATAACAAATTATTACTTGTGACCAAAGGAAAAGTTCAAATTATGAACAAAAATATTGCATATAATTTCACAAAAATTCCTAAATGAATCTTGTAGAAGTCCTGACCTCAATGTGGGGGGTTTTCAGTTGAGATGCCAGCTCCAATTCACATATGCATAGATTGAAAGAGTTTCATATTGATGTTGTTGGACACACATAGAGAGGATGTTGGACACCAAGCCCTAGCCCTAGCCCCTTTAAATAGAGGGAGACTATAATGAATAGGGGTGCAACTCGGGCAGGTTGGACAGTTAACCCTAAGTATATAATCTTCAATCCTAACCCTAACCCTAATCCTACTTCGGGTTGAGTTCCTCAACCCGAGCACTGCCTGAGTCTAATTCGGGCAGGCTCGGATCGAATTCGGATTAATAATTTTGGACTGATTTTGGGTTGATTTGGGTTACTTTAAGGATTTAATTCGGGTTGAGTTCGGGTAGAGTCTAAAATAAACTTGTTGTTCTAAACATAATACGTATATTACATAATATTCACCTAAATTAACAACCAACAACTTCAACCAAGTTTTCAACAGTACTAATGCTAGAACAAAAATAAAAATGAACAACAAGCCTAAATGAAAATGAAAATGAAAATATATATATAATTTTTTTTTAATTTGTGGAGTTCGGATTGAACCAGTGAACTTGAGGTTGTAATCCGAACCCAACTCAAATTGAATTTGGGTTAGAGTTTTTTGACCCAAACCCAACCCAAATATTAAAAATCTTTGCCTAAGTCCTAATTTTTTTGAGTTGGGCTCGGGTTGAATTCAGATTACCCAACCCAAGTTACACCCCTAGTAATGAATAAAGAAGATTGTAGAATGTTAGAGAATGGTTTTGCTAACGCAAAGTGGAATGTTATAAAAAGTTCTTTGAGTAAGTTGAATGTTATGTAAAGTTTTTTCCTTTTGGGTAAGAAGAATGTTATTGAAAGTTACGGAAAAGAAAATATAATTTTGAGAAACAGGAGGAGCAAATGTCACCTTCGACTTTTTTTTTTTTTTTTTGAAGTGACAAATTTAATGTATAGAAATATAGGATATTAAGAAAAGCCAAAGAAACATAATATGGACATCTGTCCTTAACATGGGTGTAAGCACCAGAGGTTGTCCACGAGCGCCTGCAAAAAATATTTCTAGGGTGCATTTGTTAACTTAAATTAACTACTTAAAATGAATGTATTTGATGTTTAGTATGTTAAGTGCATCTTAAAAAATATGCTAAAATATTAGAACACACACAAATTGAAAATACACACGCAAATACACACACACCCCGAATCACATGCACACACAAAAACACACAATCACACATATTTAAACACACAATGATTAAATTAGAGCACCCACAAATATTTGTCCAATTTTTTGTTTTTCTTTTTCTAATTTATTCAGTATTTTTTAAATATTTGTTATTATTCAATTATTCTGTTATTCAATTTTTTATTATCATATTCTTGCTTTGTTTGGTTAACACTTTGTTTGTTCAATTATTTTATGCGTGTTTGTTGTATTTGCTATTGTTCAATTCTTTCTTTGTATTGGACTAATTTTTTATTGATTTATTCAATTTTTTTTTTTTTTTGTTATGAGTGTCAATAAAACTACAATATGATAATAATAATTATAATTTATGTTATGAATTATTTGTAGTGATATTTTGTGATTTTTTATTAGATAAATGCATAGTTTATATATATTTTTAAAGTAAAGAATAGAAGGATAAAATTAGAAATTAATTTATTTTCACACGTCAATTCTGTATAATTATCAAAAAGTCTTGTTCGATTCAATACTTATGAATTTTAACTTGAAACTATAACTAAAAAATCTGAAAGTGAGCGGATTTGGGGTGGGCTTATTGGGATTAAGCTTCGTGCAGGTTGGAGGCTATGTCGAGGCCTGTGCCACGGCTATTCGGGCATGAGCTGGCCAGGCCAATTGCCGGATCAGGTGTGAGGCCAAATTTTTCGAGCTAGGCAGCGGCAACCACAACGCCCGACCTATGGACAGGCTTAGAGCACCATGTGAGTTGTGTGGTTGTCCATTATGTTTGCATGTAAAGAAAAAAATGTCAGTGGGTGTAGTATGATCGGAATAAGCAGTCCTCGCTGTATTTATGTTTGTATTTGTTGAAGATGAAGCAAAAACAAAAATATGAGTAGTTCAACTCAATCGAAGGATTAAGATTACATCCACAACAAGGAAGACTCTTATTCTTTGAGGATTATATTGCATAGGAAAGATGTTTGTTGTTACATAAGGTTTGGCTAGGAGCTTTTTACATAGTGTTTCTTAGGTTGCTCTCGAACACCTCTCTCTTTTGCCTATCTTTCTATATCTTTTACAGAATGACATCGTTTGTTATTTATAAATCTTATTATTAGAGTTTTGTTGTGGTTCTTTTTCTAACCAATCTTGTTAACGCTAAACTGGTGTCTACTCTGAACTGGATTATCTTGGACTTTCATGGCTACAGTTCAACTCAGGCCCCGTGAATACTATCTTAATGAGGCGCCTAGGTCATCTTGCACTAGCCTAAAAGGGTTGTGGGCTAAGGAAGGAGACCAAACATAAATCCATCGTCATCACTATTAATTCTAATACATTAAGTTAAAAGAATTTTTTTCTTGATTTTGCAACATTTGGGCCTAATGTAATTTTAATTTATAGGACTATTGGGTTTTGGTTTAGTACACAGGGTCTAAATTTAGATTTCTCGTTAGCTATACATATCGATTGCAACACGATATGATCAAATAAGTCGAATTAATATTAGATAATCGGACATAATTAATTAAACACATCAGATTAAGACTAATTAATACTTGACAAACTCAAAATAACATTATCCAAATACAACACAACATGATTTAATTGGCAGCTTATTTTTACCCAATTTTATTTCTGTTGGTTTATGTAATTATAAAGTAAATAATGACAAGATAACATACATGAAAAGAGGACAGCATAGGCAAGTACCCCCCAACCATATGGGGAGGTGATCATGTCCAAATTGCGCCTTCCAATTTTTTATTTTTTTTTATGGTTAAAAAAGAGGTGGAGCAAAAGAGAGTGCTCACAGGCCACTTTGATAGATCTTTAGCAGTGAGATCATAAGACTCCTGACCGCATTCAGTACTCTTCTCGAGAATAAACCTAACTAAGCTGACATAACTGTCAAAAACCAAGTTCTAATATGGATTTCACGACTAGAACATCCAACCTCAAGGTAAGAAGTTGAGTCGATAGCCCACTAGACCATCACACTCGGTGGTGTGCCTTCCAATATTTTTTTTTTTTTTGGAGGAGAGGGGGGGGGGGGTAATCAACACATAAGTTGTGTGAGTTTACAGCTAATGGCCAACCCATGCGATGCACGTGACTTGTGAGCCCTTTCGTTCATCCTAATCCATTTCTTCTAAACTTTTCTCTCCTACGGCATCAATTTGGTGTTTAGTTAGTGGGGAAGTGGACAGATGGTTTTTAAGTCATTTGATAGAAAGCGATTGGGCGGAAATTTTAATTTTTATTAAATAAATCAAAATTCCGTGGATTAAGAAAGATCCGGACGGGCTACAAATGTGATTCATCTGAAAATATTGGGTAGTTTTAGAGGAATGAGTAATGCTACACTGACCAAATTTTGGGACTAAATTTAAAACTCAAATGACATGAAAGTTGATTAATTGAAGTTTTTATTGAGGCCCAAATGACATGACACCAATCAAAGAAACCCAAGTCAATCGCCATGTCATTTGGACTTTAAATTTGATCTCAAAATTTGGTCAGTCTAACATTATTGTTTAGGAATTTAACGCCAGTATCAATATGGGCTTTTTTTTTTTTTTTTGGTGATAAACTATACGTTATACACCACTGCAGTAGTGGTCCAGTAGCTTACAGTGTCCCGTATAGAGTCCTACCTAACTCCTACGAACTTAAAAATAAAGTTCAAGTCAGGAGGACTACCGCTACTCTCACTGAGAATTCTGTGGTGGGCTTCGAGTTGGTCTTTTAGAACGCCTGCGATTTCCCACCATCTAGGCCCCACTGGTGGGCTTCTACCGTGGGCTCGAACTGCTATGGTCACGTCCAGGCAGGGATTCTATCGCAAATGTCGCCTCAAACCCTTATTTTTGTTCAACTTCGAATTGACTTCATTCCCACTCGGATCAGAAAACTGGGCTACTGCTATAGAATGTCAAGGAAAAATGAAAGTCGTCTTCATCCTTTGTTCTTTCCTTTCCATTCACCAGATCTCTTTTATTTCATTGATTTTGTCTAGATCCTCCTTTTCTTCTGAAGAAAAGGTAACGGGAAGGATCCTTTTTAGCAGATGCCTGTGTTCCTTCAATTTCTACATGTGTTTCTTCTGCACTTTCCCTTGACAGAACTCATTGCCCTTCAAACAATTTCGCTACACTAGCCGATCATGCAGTACAGTAAATGTAAATACATGGTAGATAATAAAAGAAGTGTGGAAAGATTTTGGAAATGCACAACTGCGACGCTGGCTATAATTGCTAAATTGTAATAAAAAGCAATGCAAGATTACATGAATCAAAGTGGAGGGTCCTAAAGGTTTTCATTTCTTGATGTGTTAGATATATTAAAATTAGCAGCAGTAGAGACTAATGTGGGCTAGAGGGGAAAAAACGAAAAAATGTATGCTGTACAGTATGGTATTAAACTCCTAGCTGAATGTAGTCATCTAAATCATTCCCATCCCATCAACTTCTTTCTAACAAATTCCTTGATCTCATTCCGTTGCAAGGAAGAACCAACGCTTTCATGCAGTCGAATCCTGTACACTTCCCACTCCCGATCATGAATCCTGTGCCTCGATATCTCTACCTGAAAAAATAAGCGGAAATAAGAGCAGAAACTCCTTTTAGTCCAGATAGGATAAATTTGCGAATTCAGGAAGGCAGAAAACAATGAATTAGACGTAGTACCGAGAAGACACGAATGTTGAAAATATTTAGAGCAAGGGTAATATCATAAAACACACGAGGTCGACCCCTGCCTGATAACTCAGCAGGATTAGCTACAAGGAGCTCAGTATCAGGGCCACGGCTCACCACATCAACCCTGAGAGGACGGAGAAGTTCCATTCTCAGACGTGAGCAAAGTGCATTTTGCTTATCAGGGTCAACTATCTTCTTCCCATCTGCTTGCATTATGAGCAAATCCATCTCACACCTTCGTTTTGGGTTTGCAAAGAATCGCCCATAAGAAATCTGACAGAAGATAAGTTTTACATATGAAAATCCAATCTGAAGAAAAGCATGATTCAATTGATGTTTTGCAGTCAACAAGATGAAAAATCTTTCCATACCAAACTTGTCTTTTGCACAACTTCTCTACAAGTCCCAAGTACACACTGTTGCCTTGTAGATTTTATCAAGCTTTACAGGTTTCCCATTAGTGGTTACCAGATATTCATGCGATAATTGGGTCAAAACATGGGGCAAATCATCAAAACACCAGAAACGAGTATCCATTGGCAAGGTTTCAGATTCTTCCCTTAACCACAAGTTCCTCACATCTGGCTTTGATGGCAATCCCCCATAAAGTAAAAAGGGCTTGATTTTACTGCACCTTTTATCAAAAAGATGAAACTAAGGATGGTTTTGTATGGTTTAAATCATTTACCTGGATGTTGTAATCTTTTAGAGTTCTCATGACGTCATAGATGAGACCTTTGTGATCTTGACAGACGATTTGGACCAGTGTGTGAGAGGGGCTCAGGGAGTTGTCCACTATAACAGATACAGAATCCAAGCCAAGGAACCCACTTGTGTATTTTGCAGACAGCTCTAAACTGAACATTTCTTCTGTAATGGAAGAAGGAAGGAATGAGAACCCTCGTGAACATGCAGTAATTTCAGGACCAGCCAGTTCAATCTCACAAGGTAGCATGGGGTCCTCTAATGCAGCTTTCAAATGCCAAATTACTTCTTCCCGCCTCTTCTTAGTGTGAAGAAGTTCTCTGATTAATAAAAACAGGCACAAATAAATCATACTCCAGAACATAAAATACAAATGAAAGAGATCCATATAACACCATCAGCATGCTCTATTCATCTTTGAAAGAGCAACTTTGAACTTAGACGACACTCACAAAACTATAAAAAGATAAAGAAAGGAATGAGAGTAACAAGTAACAATATTTACACAGATCGTGATGATTTCTAGTATTAAAAGAAATTTCCGCAACAATTGATCTGTATAAGATGCAACAACTGGACAGTAAAATATTTTTTGTTTCAAATTGGGCCAAACTACCATCTGACCTGAATAAAGATAAGATTTCACAAGTCAAAGTGAAAGATATAAAAGACAAACCAAAGCGGAGAAGTGAAGTAGCAAACAAAACATGAAAACTAAAGGAAAAGAATGAAAGTAAACTACTATTGAAGACAAACACAATGGCATCGCTTACTCTGAACAACACCGCTTTTTTCATCTAATGAAATAATGCAAGTAAAAGAAGTGAAGAAGGTTTCAAGAATATAAAAATTTCAGTTCTATGATGTTACCTCCATCTGCCAGGTATTTCTCTGAACCTGTTTTTTCAGTACAAAATTCTTGTTCATTTAATCCAGGAAGTAAGTACATAGGCTTACAAATGATTCATTCTCCTCAGCATTCTTCTTCTTATTGTTTCTGGAATGTAGGCAAGTTGTTTAGATGGAAGAGTTTAGAATGGTGAGAAGGTGAAGGTACGAGGTTACCCATGATTAAATTAGATTAAGAAGCAGATAGTAATGGACCACAAACTTTAGCGTACATCACTGTTTCCAAATAAAACCATTGTCATGCAGCATCTGTACAGAAATTCTCCTTCATATAATCTTAGGGGAAAGAGCCCATCAACGTATTATCCTAATCGTGGAAAAAATTGGATTCTATGCATGATGTTGTTCTCACTTTATTGACCTTTCTCAGGAAACCGTTTAGTTATAAAGTATCACCCAATTCAAAATACTTTTGATTATATATGCTTTTTTTAAGAAGACTGACTGATTAAACAGCCCAGTTCAAAAAAATGATTAAACAGTGCAGGATTCTGACTGCAAGTGAGAATGGCCTAGCTCGTTTCATCGCCTTCTGTTAATTACCACGTTTATGTTTGATCCTAATTACCAAAACTATGCCCTGAGACCTCATGCCAAGGGCAATTTTAGTAAGCAATTCAGCGAATTATATTGGGTACATGGCACCTCTTTCCAAGGAGAAGAGCATCCCACCCGCAACTAGTACTTGGTAGGGTGAGCCTTATTAATTCTTTATTTTGGTTGCTGAGAATACTAGATAAAGAAATGCGACTTCGGAACTTCCAATGTAGTTGCAAGACACTATAAGAATCAAACTTCAGAATGTACGGCCTTAAGATTCTATACCCTTCATTTCTAATTGTCTACAAGGAGCCATAAGAATCAAGGAGGCAATATAAAAGACAAAAGGAAAATGAAAAGCAGAAAATAGTAAAATAACAAGCCAAGGAGACAAACCTGGTGTCTGTGACAAAGAAGAGATCCATTACTCTGCCATCCGGTGCTGTGGATACCTTCACTCTTTTTATCGTAAGCTCTAGCTTACAAAGAGCTTTTGAAATATCTACAGAGAACAAAAGCATATCAAACAAAGAAAGAGGCTAAGAACATAAATAAATACGAAGCCAGAGGAATTCTATTAAGACTGACGTATTTATATTCCATTTCAAGAAATTTTATCAATTATGGCTTTTTCCTAATGATTTCTATCCACCAAATGACTACAATTATGGCGGTAATTTCTTAACGACCTTGCCACAACGGTGAAGATAGAGATTTGGGATTTTATATAAATCAAGGAAGAAAGCATATTACCTCTCTAAATCCTAAAAATTTCAATTTCAAAAATATCTGATATGAGTAAATTTCAAGTTAAAGCAAGAAAAAGATTCCAAGTAATCTAGGTTTCCCAAAGAGAGAAGCAATACCAAATGCTTGGATATCATTTACCCACAAAATTAAATAATGGAAACAACAGGAGTTACCATGTAGCAGACCCTTCCGGTCATTGTCACACCAAAACTTCAACAGGAACACATCTGGTTGCTTGGGCTGCTGAAATTCCGGTATGTAATAGTAAATTTCTGACTCGGCTGCAGTAAATGTAGGGCACACCTCAAGTATTCTCTTCTTCAATAGATCCCACCTTGTTGCTGGCTTTGAAACTACCCAGAAAACTATGTAACACCATTTACCATCCGTTGAAGCATCTATTTCAAAAGGAATCAAAGGAACATACAAGAAGAACTTTAATTCCAGTCTTTGGTCTCTCGAAGAATCTTAAATCAGAGGAAAATTAGATGAAGAGAATCAGAGTTAGCAATGAAGAAATTTAAAGATCTACTTTACATCTTGGAGTGAACCTTAAAACCCACAGAAGATTCAAATATTCCGAAAAAAACAAAGCAAACTACTTATCTTTCATCTAGTGAGAAACTTTATCACAGAAACGAGAATCAGAGAAAAGTAAAGAGGGATTAAAACTTAACTATTCATCATAGTTCATCGTATTAAAAATCTCAACACTACAATTAATTTCATGCATTTGTAAACAAGTGGCCTGAAAACAAAAATACTAGCACATCATTTCTTTCCCAAGCATGTCGGATCCTAATTTACAATTCACAAAAACATCCAAAAAACCAAAAATCACATCAACCCATCATTTGGTTCACAACAAATTTCAAATCTTTTAAAGAGAGTCAAAAAAAAAAAACAAAAAGAGGGTACAAATAAGAAAACAATATCGAGCAACACTATTGCTTATACCTCCTCTGGCAATGCAAAGCCCAAAGAGTAAGATAATCCTACATAAGTCACACCCAAGTCCAGTCTTGTCCGGACAATTCACTGTGATTACAGTATGATCACCTGGTTTGTCAGCTTCTTTTACCATAACCGCATCTTCATAAATAATGCCCATCTTCTCTCTCTCTCTCTCTCTCTCTCTCTCTCTCTCTCTCTCTGTTGTTACTTGTTCCCCTGTTTTTCTTTCTTCAAATGTGAAACAGAGAATAAACATAGCAGATAGACACAGAAAAAGTTGGAGCACACGCAATAGGCAAAGGGCTCTCTCTCACTCTCACTAAATAATTTTTTTGGAGAGAGAAAGAGGGAGTTACAGATTCCGTCAAACATCTCATAAGATATTTTCAAAACATTTCAACCACATAATCCATTTTTATCACATATTGGTTATTGTGAATAAATATAATTTTTATTAAAAATAACTAATACTTCGAATTTTATTTTTTATATATTTTTTTCGTTCATTTCTATCATATTACCTCTTTTTATTGCATATTAATTATTGTGGCTTAATATAATTTTTATTAAAAATATAATTCATGATGATACTCGGAATGATTTTCGAGCAGGAGCTCGAGAACGGAGGTCAAACATGAAAGTCAGGTATGCTAAACTCAGAAAATCAGAGCTAGAGCTCCCTTCAAGCGAGATAATAAGCTGAAACAATGAAAAAGCAACTAGATACTACAAAGAACTCGACAGGCGGTTTGAGATAACACTCAAGGCACAAAATCCTCAACCAATCAAGATACTCTTTTAAAATCAAGGAGAATTCTTCGGATAGATGGCAAGGATCACAGATCAGATCCCATTGATTAAGGGTCACCCCTATAAATACTATGTAATGCCCCCAACAGAGGGGCAGAACCCTAGTATCACATCTTACATTCTGTAAACCTTTTGAGATAGTAAATAGTGAAAGAAAGAGCAAGAATCTTCATTAAAGAGTGGATTAGCAGAGCTCCCGAGCTGGTGAACCACTATATTTCTACTGTGTTAATTCCCCCAACTCCCCAACAATTCTCAATATCATTCCCTCGAGTTTAGTAACTCAGATCCCAATAATTTCAATATTGTTTCTTTCATCAATTCGTCATCACAAAATTGCATCACGTTGAAATACACCATCAGTTTGGCGCCGTCTGTGGAAAAAACTGGTCCTATTATAAACAAATTGATCTTTCAGTGACAGATGGTATCAACGTGAAACATGAACCGAAGTCAAACAAATCCGCCACGAGTGCAAGATCAACAAGAAGTTGCCAATAACAGACAACCCGAGAGCGTCCAGGAGACCAATCTCCCAATGAGGGGTCTCCCCATGAATAACGAGATGGAGGCTCTTCGCCTCTCCAATCAACGCTTGCTGAAAAAAAATAAAGAACTTTTAAAGCTCTTACAACGCCCATAGGATGCACGACAGGCTCAAGAAGGCCAGAACAACCTCTCACCTAGGGAGCAACCACGCCTCGACCCCCTCAGAGAAGTTAACGAAGAAAGGAAAAATAGTCAAACCATGGGGTCAGAACCTCGCATACCCCCCAGGAATGACCACAACGACGAAGGATAGAGTCAAAACGAAGAAGGTGAGAGAAACAATTTTTTCCCCTATCAACAGGAAATGAGAGAACAATACTGGGAGCAGCGCTTCCAGGGTATCCAACAAGAGCTCAGCCACATGAAAGAAGTCGTGAGAGGCGGGGCTCCAGTTACCATGGATGTCTTGGTACAGCAGACTGAATCCCCGTTCACCACTGGGGTGCTGCATTTTCCCCTCCCTATGAAATTCAAAATACCACAAATAGACGCTTTCGATGGAACAAAGGATCCCGTAGAACACTTCAACACCTACAAGAACCAGATGGAGTTGCATGGATACCAGGATCTAGTGCGTTGCAGAGCTTTTGCCATCACATTAAAGGGCTTAGCCCTAGCATGGTTCAATAGGCTCCCCCCAGCCTTGATATCCTCCTTTAAGGAGTTATCCATATCCTTTGTGTCTCACTTTATAGGAGCTCGAACGTACAGAAAGTCAAGTTACCACTTGCTAAATGTGAAACAGTGACCCCACGAGAACCTCAAATCCTATGTTCAGAGGTTCAACTCGAAATCACTAAAAGTGGACGTCCCAAACGAGAAATTTACCATTACTACATTTATAGCTGGCTTGAGTGTCCAATCTAAAGGCCAGGTGTTCTCCATCTCAAAAAATTCCCAGGCCAGCATAGCCGAAGTACTGGCCAAGGCGAAAAAATACATAAACGGCGAAGAAACTCTGCTCTCAAAAGTTGGGAGCTCATCCATTCAAAAGGACAAAAGGAAAGAGGAGAAAAAGAGAGACCGAAGTCCCAGAAGAGAGAGAGAACGAGATAGGTCTCCAAGAAGAGATAGAGATCGCTCCCCCAAAAGAAGGGGAGACGTTAGAGATCGCCTGAGACTACCTTATCTAGACTTGCAGTTGAGGTACGCACCTCGGCAGATTCCCCCATTCACCAAAACAATATCGTAAATCTTGTATGAAGTACAAAATGAAAAATTTCTGAGCTGGCCACCTCAGATGAAAACAGACCCGACGAAAAGGGACCCCTCAAAGTATTGTGAGTACCATAGGGACCATGGTCATCATATTGATGACTGCATTCAGTTGAAGAAGGAGATAGAATTCATGATCCAACGAGGGCAGTTGAATCGTTACATAGCCTAGGAGAATCAGAATCGAGCCCCACCACCTCAGCAGTAGGCTCCTGCGCAGCACCAACAACCCCTAGGAGAGATCAGGGCAATATCAGGGGGTTTTGCAAGAGGCGGGGAGTCTAATTCAACCAAGAAAGCCCACCTATGTAGAATCAGAGCTGGTGAGGCTTTGGAGGTGTACGTTATATCTAAGGCACCACGGCTGAGCTCAGACATCACATTCTCAAATGCAGACTTGGAAGGATACCAACACCCCTATGACGACCCGCTGGTGGTAAGGGTTGTTATGGCTAACAGAACTGTTCACCGGGTTCTAATAGATAACAGAAGCTCAGCAGATATCATATTTGCTTCCGCATTTGACAAGATGAGCATAGGAAGGAAAAAGCTGGAGCCCGTGAATGCTCACCTGTTAGGATTTGCGGGAGAACGGGTGTTGTCACTAGGCTCAATCCAGCTTGTGCTCACTATGGGAAACCCCCCTACCAGGCAACCACTACAATAAGATTCCTAGTGGTTGATGCCCCCTCTGCATACAACATGCTGCTCGGGAGACCTTTTCTCAATGCAATAAAGGCCATCCCCTCAACCTATCATCTAGTCATGAAATTCCCTACAGAAAATAGAGTTGGAGTGGTCCGAGGAGATCAACGGGTTGCAAGGGAATGTTACTTGACTTCGATAAAGCAGAAAGAAGTTGAAAACATACAACTAGATGAGTTGGACATAAGGGACGAACTGGGCACCAGGCCAAACGCCAACAGAAGAACTGGAGCCAGTTCAACTTGATGAAGAACCAGAACATCTCTTCTACATTGGGACTAAACTGAGTAGAAAGGTTAAGGACCTTCTCATCTTGTTCCTAAAGGAGAATATGGGGGTGTTCGCTTGGAAACAAGAAGACAAGGAAGGCATTGATCCCTCGGTTATCATTCACAAGCTGAGTGTGAATCCTACCTGCAAGCCCGTCAAGCAGAAGCGAATGAGTTTTACCCCAGAGCGTCAGAAGGCAATCAATGAGGAGGTGGGCAAGCTTCTTCACGCCAGAGCTATCAGGGAAGTAGATTACCCTACCTGGTTGACCAATGTGGTTCTTGTCAAGAAAACCAACGGCAAATGGCGACTCTGCATAGACTTTACTGATTTCATCCGAGCGTGCCCTAAGGATAGTTTTCCTTTATCCCGGATTGATTTAATAGTGGATGCCACCGCTGGGCATGAACTCTCAGCTTTATGGACGCTTTCTCAAGTTATAATCAAATCAGGATGGATCCAATCGACCAGGAGAAGACCTCTTTCGTGACTGAGCAGGGGACTTACTACTATCAGGTTATGCTTTTTAGGTTAAAGAATACGGGAGCTACCTACCAGCGTCTGGTGAACCGAATGTTCCAAAGGCAAATTGGAACATCCACGGAGGTTTATATCGATGACATGCTGGTGAAGTCACAGAAGACAGAGCTCCACATTGCACACCTAGCAGAATCATTTCTGGTCCTTAAGGAATACAAGATGAAGCTAAACCCTGCCAAATGTGCCTTTAGAGTATCTGCAAAAAAAATTCTGGGTTTCATAGTAAACAGTAGAGGGATAGAGGCTAACCCCGAAAAAGTTAAGGCACTCCTAGATATGTAGCCACCATTTAACGTAAGGGAAATCCAACGCCTGACAAGGAAAATAGTAGCCTTGAGACGCTTTGTGTCCAAATTAAGCGACAAGTGTCAACCTTTCTTTCAAGTCCTAAAAAAGGCATTCCATTGGGATACTCGATGTAAAGAGGCATTTAGGGCTCTGAAGGTTTACCTAAGTTCTCCACCTCTGCTGGCAAGCCCCCTGGAAGGGGAGGTACTTACTCTATATCTGGCTGTTTCAGATTTTTCGACCAACGCAGCTCTGGTGAGGGAGAGAGACAGAGCTCAACAGCCGATCTACTACTGCAGCAGAGCTTTGAGGGGGGCAGAGGGGAGATACCCAAAAATGGAGAAACTACCTTTGGCTTTGGTAACCACAGCCAGGAGACTTAGACCATACTTCCAAGTGAACACCATCGAGGTACCAACAGAGCAGCCGATGAAACAAGTGCTACATAAATCGGAGTCCTCAAGAAGGCTAGTAAAGTCGGCTATAGAGCTCAGCGAGTTTGATATTAGGTTTAAGCCAAGAACTGCAGTCAAATGGTAGATTTTAGCGGACTTCATTGCAGAATTCACGACACCAAAACCTCTGGAGACCACGCAGCTGGTACCCGACCTCCCCACATGGAAGTTTTCAGTAGATGAAGTTGCCAATGCTCAGGGGAGCATGACAGGCTTAATCTTAACCTCCCTAGATGGAGTAGATGTTGAATACACACTCAGATTTGGGTTTAAGGCTTCAAACAATGAGGTAGAATACGAGGCTGTTATAGCTGGACTCAACCTTGCCCATTCAATGAAGGCAGAACAGTAGGAGATCTGCAGTGATT